TTGGAGAATATGGAGAACATGCATCTTTGGAAGGTTCCGGGTGCGTTGCAAAGTCCGAACGGCATTCGTCTGAAAGTAAATGTGTCGAATGGGCACGTAAAGGTGGTCTTCGGTTGATCCTCGGGTGCTATGGCTACTTGGTAGTAGCCGGAAACTCCGTCTAGGAAGCAATAGAATTGGTGGCCCGAGAGACGGTCGAGGATTTGATCGATGAACGGCAGCGGAAAATGGTCTTTTTTGGTCACAGCGTTGAGCCGCCAATAGTCGATACACATTCTCCACCCGGTAGTGATGCGGGTGGGGATCATCTCCTTCTTCTCGTTCTCAATGACGATGATGCTCTCTTTTTTCGGTACCACAAGGATGGGGTTCACCCACTTGCTATCGGCCACCGGGAAGATAAGCCCCTCGGGAATAGAGCTTAAGAACCTCCGTCTTCGCTACTTCCATCATGTTCGGATTAAGTCACCGTTGGCTATCTCGAAATGGCTTGGCACCTTCCTCCAAAATGGTCCGGTGCATACACGTGAAGGGCTGATGCCTTTTAAGTCTCCAAGGCTCCACCCAATGGCTTTTTTATTCTTTCGGAGTACCTCAAGTAGCTCTCTCTCTTCATCTTGAGTAAGCTCGGCGAAAATAATTACCGGCTTTTGTCCTTTGTCGTCGAAGAATACATACTTGAGGTGTTGAGGTAATGGCTTGAGTTCTAGAGTGGTTTGCGTGTGGGGCTGGTTGGCTTCGAAAAGATCAATGGTTGGCTCTTCTTCATCGTCAAAGTCGGGTGTGTGCTTCGCCTCCATCTCTCGTAGGGTCATCTCTTCGACGAACGGGTCGGTTACATCAACAAATGCACACTCCTCTACAAAGTTCACCGAAGATGCGGATGTGGCGTCCCGGACGGAGATGGATGGACTCACCCAAAACCGTCATGTTTAGAGTCCCGTTCTTTACGTCAATGAGAGTGTTGGTGGTGGCCATGAATGGTCTTCCGAGAAGGATGGTGTGATCCTTCCCGTTCTCGTGCACGTCTCCCACATCTAAAATAACAAAGTCCACAGGAACAATGAGCTTCTCAACCCAAACAAGCACGTCTTCCACCACCCCTTTGGATAACGGATCGAACGGTCGGCGAGCTGGAGGCACATACGAGTTGGTCTCAATTCTCCGAGACCAAGCCGTTGAAATATCAAGAACGGCATAAGATTGATCCCAGCTCCGAGGTCAAGCATCCCCGAAGCTTCCTTTCCATTCCCGAGGGCTATTTTGATCACGAAACCCCCGTGATCACATTCCTTCTGGGGTAGGTTATGGTGCATAGTACTTGCCGCCTCGTATACCACAACCTTCTCCCCGTCTTCGAACTTACTTTTCTTCGTCACCAAGTCTTTGAAAAATTTCACGTAAGACTGCATATTCTTGATTACATCTAAAAGTGACAAGTTGACATTGACCTTCGAGAGCATATTGTAAAGGTATCCGAATTGCTTTTCATGCTTATCATTTCGAAGTTGGCCTGGAAAGGGAATACGTGGTTTGTATGGATTCGGGGACTTGTGTAAAACTGGGTCCTCCGTTGGTTTCCCCGAATTGGCTTGTGTGCTCTTCTCAACGCCATGTTCCGCTTCTTTGGGCTGGACGGTCAGATTAGGGACATCCGACTCGGGCAATTCCACGTGGTTGTCAATGACTTTCCCACTGCTCAACACGGTGATCGCCTTTGCTTGCTTGGGTTGGCTCGGGAGCTTCTCTTTGTCGGACTCGGCCTCCAAATTTCCAACTCTCCTCCAAATTTCCAACTCTCGTGGCGAGCTAGCCAATTTGCGTCTCCATACGCTTGATAGTCGATTCTTAGTTCGTCATGAATTGGAGGACTTTGTCCCACTTGTCATCTTGGGTGAGCGAGCTAGGGCCGGCCCCTTGGGTTTTCATTCCTCCCATAGGGCCTCTTTGCGGTTGTTGTTGTTGAGGGTATTTCGGTCTCATGTGTTGTTGGGGAATGAAGTTGAGACGGTTCGGTTGTTGCACGAAGTTTTGTAGAGGTTGCTGGGTGTTGTTGTTGTTGGACCACGAGAAGTTGGGGGGATTTCTCCACCCCGGGTTGTAAGTGTTCGAGTAGGGGTCGTTGACTGGCCGGTTTTGGTATCCTTAGAGGGCGTTGGCATCCGCATATTGCTCCCCGAAGTCTTGCTCAAAGGTTACCGGGCACACCTCGGATCGGTTCCTGTGGACTCCACACGTACTGCATGCTTCCACCGACATGGTTTGTGCCGGTTGGGCGCTTCTTGCGTTAAGTAGCCTCATGTGCTTCGTGAGCTCGGCTATTTGATGAGATATCATGTTTTGTTCAGGAGCTACCTCATGCACCATCATCTTCTTTCCTCGACTGCTCTTTTGAGACGAGTTAGCACTCATCGTCTCAAAAATTTCCATCATCTCCTCGGCCGTCCTTTCCCCGATATCTCCACCGGCCGCACTGTCCACCATGTACTGAAAATTTTGGTGGAGGGAGTCGTAGAAGCTGTTCATCGACAAGGCGGGCAGAAAATTGTGGTGTGGACATTGCCTTTGAAGATCTTTGAAGCATTCCCACGCCTCGTGGAGTGGCTCGTTTGGCTGTTGGGCAAAAGAGACGATTTGTGATCGGAGCTCTTGAGTCTTCTGATGGGAATAGTATCTCCCGATGAATTTCGAATACACCTGCTCCCAAGTAGTGAGGGAATCGGGAGCAAGCGTCATGAACCAAGCTTTTTACTTCAGTCCTTAAGTGTCTCGGGAAAACACCTCATTTTCAATTGATCTTCGGTGAGCCCTTGGAGTGGAAAGGTTTGAAGGACATTGTAGAACTCGCAGATGAAATGGAGCGAATCTTCATTGGGGAGACCGTGAAAGGATGGGAGTTGGTTATAATGTATCGTCTTGAGCTCGTAGTTCCGAGCCGTCGGACCTAATCGGATGCACGAAGTCACTGGCCCAATCACCGGTTAGGCCAAATCACGGAGAAGATACCGCGGGGGGTTGTTTACTTCCGCTTCGTTGTTTAGTGCCATACTGCTTCAGTTGTTTGAGTTTGATGGTTTGTCATTTGGAATGAGTTCACGACCACTTCTAGTACGCATACACTCAAACAAGCAACGGGTTACAAGCACCAATGATAACGAAAGAAAGTAAATGGCAAACACCCCAAAATATTTACTAATTAACAAGAAAAACAAAATCAAGAATCGAAGAGAAACACGAAAACAATAATTCACAAGAATTAAAAGACATACGAAAACAAATGAATAGACGCACGAAATAAATCCTAAACCTTCCCCGGCAACGGCGCCATTTTGTTGTGTAGTATTTTTACCGGAGTAGAATCGAAAGATTCGAACACCGAGTCGTTTCTCTCGAGGAAGGTTAGCCGGATTATTTTGTATGTGTATTCAAAAATAAAAATAATCCTACACACTCTAATTTGAATTGTTGGTTTTGATTCTTAACTAATGATTCTTAAATAGAGCAATTTAAATGTAACAACTTATAATACAAGAAGATATATGTGGTTCATATATAAAGAAACAAGTTAGGGTATCGGGGACAATCGCTTTCGGTTCTACACACATTTAACAGGCAATCAACAACTAGGTTAAAAGACTCGACTAATAAACTCATTTAGTGGTTTAACCTCAATATCTCTTTGTAACATGCGGAAAACATAAACGAGCAAATTAACGAAACAATTAACACATAGACAATACGTATCCGAACAAGTCTACTCTAAACGAGCCAAGTTCTACCAATTTCTCCCCTCTCGGTTTTGAAATCGATTATATAGATTAAAATGGTGATCAAGCATTTAACCTTAGGATTAATAAAACTCGCAAAGATTGAGTAATCGACAAACACATAAACGAGCAAAATCCAAAATGATTATCCACTAACCCTAACAAAAGATTTAGCTACTCATTAAAATCTTGTCACAAACATTCACATGAACATAAGTCCTTCTTAACATAGAATGAAAGAGATAACTTATTTATTAATGTAAACTTCACAAGTCAAGAGCAAATGCAAACTTAATGCCAAAGTCTTCAATAAAATCTTCAAGAAAAACCAAGTACAAACCACAAAATATTGATGAGGAAATGAAGAAGAAATGAAGAAGAAGAACTTAAGAATGGATACCTTGAAGTCTTGCACCTCTCCCCCTTTTTATACTACTCCCTTCTAACATTTATCCTTGATTTAAGCCACTAAAATTTTAAGACAAGGAGGAAATGATCCACTAAGATGAAAGTGCTCCCAAAAACATGATATAGTGCCTTAAAACATGATATAATGCCTTAAATTCTGAAGGAAACGAGTGGAGGGGTCCATCTTGCTCACTTCTTATTTTCTGCCAGATTTCATGCGCGCGAATTGTGATTCGCGGCTCGCGAATTGTGATTTTGCACTGCGCGACTTCGCGTTTTGGTCTCGTTCGAGCTCGTCCGAACTCGGAATTGAGTGTCGTTGTTTTCTACGTGTCACTAAGGAACTGTTCTATTAAATTATGCTTGAAAAATCAACTCTTGCCCAGAATACAATCTTCTAGAGTTTTCCAACCATCAAAGGGTCGGCAGTTTGCTAGACTTTACATTTCGGCCCCGTTCGGATTCGTCCGAACTCGAAATTGGATTTCGCTTTTTCCTATGTGTAGCTAAGGAATCCATCTATCCAACCATGATTTCCCGAACCATTTTCGAGCTTAATTGATTCTTCATGGGGCTTCTGACCTGCACACTAAAAACAAGAAGAAAAACGTAGAAAACCGACAAAATATACGAAAAATACATAGAAAACCAAAATAGAGCAAAACATACAATAAAATACAAAACGGACTAACAAAAAGACCTTAAACGGGGGAAAAAGAATGACAAACAGTAACGAAAAACGTAACATAAATGGTCACAACAGTTCTCAGGAGGGAGCAGTGGAATTTTCTATTACAGCCCAGATCAAAATGGGGGCAGGAGTGGATGATAGGAGAGGACTGGAATGCTATTGTGGACAACAGTGAAAAAAGAGGTACAAGGGACAAGAACCAAGAAGACATGTCAGAGTTCAGAAGCTTTATTTCTCAGATGGAAATGGTGGAAGTGAGAATGGTAGGTCATCAATTTACCTGGTCTAACAACAGAACTCATGAACACTTCAATGAAGAAAAATTGGATCGGGTATTTGGCTCTTTTTAGTGGACTCCAAATACTCTAATGCAACTCTGCTAAATTGTTTTAAGTCTTCTGCTCATCATAGCCTCATGGTGTTAGTCAAAGATGCCATCAATCATCACCAGAAGAGTCTAGGTTTCAATTTTACAAGAGATGGGTCTCTAAACCAGAGGTGCAGACAGTTGTTCAGCAAGCTTGGACACTAAATTGCACTGGTACTCCAATGTTTAGATTCCAAGAAAAGCTAAAAAATACAAGAATTTCTCTTCTCAAGTGGAGCCACACATTGAAGACAAACAATGCTAGAACCATTGAGAGCCTCACACTCCAGATGAGGCTTCAAAGCCAGGATAAGAATTGGGATAGATGGGAAAGGATAAAGAAAAAACTTGATGAAGCTCAATGTGCAGAAAAACGTTTCTGGAAGCAAAAGTCAAGAAACATGTGGCTCAAAAAAGGTGACTAGAACACAAAGTTCTTTTATGCATTGACAATGCAGAGAAGTAAGAGCAATGCCATAACCAGATTGGTTGTTGATGGGGGAATTGTATGTAAGACGAAGGAAGACACTGATGCTGAAGTTAGCAGGTTTTATAAGAGCTTATTTACCTCAGAGGGTTCATCTGATGATAGTGGTGTTCTCCAGCTTATACCCAGAGTAATCACACATTCAATTAATCAGAATCTGGTTGCCTCAGTTGATGAGGATGAGATTAAATCTACCCTGTTCAGTATGAATCCTGAAAAAGGCCCTGGAGTCACTAGTATGTCCCCTGTATTTTTTTAGCACTTCTGACCAGTCATTAAACATGATCTCTGTGAAGTTGTGGTCAGTTTTTTTGAATCTAACATGCTGCTGAGAAGTTGGAACTATATTATCATAACTTTGATTCCAAAAGTGCATTAACCCTTCTACATTAAGTGACTTCAGGCCAATCAGTCTTGGTGAGGTTGCTTACAAGATTATTGGTAAGAGTCTTGCAAAGAAAATGAAGCCTTTTTATGTGTTAGTGAGAATCAAGCTGTCTACATTCCAAGTAGGCAGCTCCTTGACAATGTGATCATGGCTAATGAGGTCAATCATTACCTCAACAGGCACAGGTCTGGTAAGCAAGGATTCTTAGCTCTCAAACTTGATATGGTGAAAGCCTATGATAGACTTGAGTGGGGTTGTTTGCAGAAAATTCTTTTGAAGTTCGGGTTTCAATGGAAGTTTGTTGGTTGGATTATGGTGTGTGTTACCTCTACCTCCTTTTCTTTGAATATAAATGGGGACATTTGTGGCTTTTTTATGCTTCTAGGGGGTATAAGGCAAGAGGATCCCCTATCCCCTTATCTATTTATTCTGATTTCTGTGCTATTTTCCATGCTTATTAAGAGGGAAGTTGAAGGAGGAACTATGAAAGGGGTTAAATTGTCTAGGAAGGGGTTTGCATCTGTTTCATCTACTCTTTGTAGATGATTCACTTCTTTTTTGTGGTACTGATCATACCTCCATCTCTGTTGTCTTGAGGGTTCTTGATAACTATCACATGTATACTGGGCAAAAGGTCAACTTTTTCAAATCTTCTATTTTTTTTAGCAAAAATGTGTCTGTTGTGCTTTGAGCTAAAATTTGTACTTTGTTCCAAGGCATTCAAGTTCATAGATTTTCCAAATATCTGGGTTTGCTCCTGGGGATAGGGAAATCTATGAAGCAAGCCTTTGAGTATGTTATTGAAGCTGTTAAGAAGAGAGTGTCTAGTTGGAAGAACAATTTTCTTTCTCCTGCTGGCAAAGAGGTGTTGATGTACTTATTAGCTAGACGAGGATAATAATGGAAAAATATGTACAAAAGATCCAAAACGTTATTTATTTATTTAATTGTTGATAAAGCCAAAATGACATTTAAAAAAAGTATGAGGTAGTACATTATATAAAAGGGTTAATTGCAGGAAAAACCATAACCTTTTGATTAATTGCAAATAAAACTCATCTTTTTTAATTTGGCAAGAAAATACCCAACCTTTAATAAGTATTGCAAATTTGTCTTGAAAACATATTTCGGCCAATTCTGCTGACATGGTTGATCGGAAAAATGACGTGGCATCCACATCAGCGTAAACGCCATGTCACTTAGATGCCACATCATTTTTATTTATTAAGCATAAAATTAGGAAAGAAAATAAAATCCATATTTTAAATCATTTCCAGAACAAGAAAAAAAAAGCGCAAGGTATCTTTCTTCTCACGATGTTCGGATGCCTCAAATTCCCGATCAAATCTATACACCGCTCGAATTCTTACAGAGCAATTGGTGGAATTGGAGGATGAAGAGCAATTGGTGAAATTAAGGCAGAGAGCTTCATTGCCGGAAAAGCTGGTCATGCCGAGTTTTGTGAGTAGGGATTTTGATACTGACCCGTTTAATTCGTTGTTCGAGAGGTTCAGATGGCGGAGATTTGGGAGTGAATCTAGGGATTTGGCCTGTGATTTGGTTGTCAGAGCTCGTCGGAGCTCGCGAAGGTTGTTTCAGCCGCGAGTTAAGGGCTACCCTCACGTTTGAGGCCTGGTTTGCTGCTCTCGCCGAAAAATATAGGTGACTCGCGTTTTGATAACGAATGGCTGCCTTTGGTTGCTCTTCTGCCAGGTCGCTCGTCAGCCTTGCAAGATATCGCCTCGCTGTGAATGACTCGGTCCTCAGAAGTCGGTTCCCACCGCGGCTACCTTTCCTCTGTCGCGCGTTCATCTCGCCGCCGGGAGTCTGGACTTGTTGCGACTGGAGATTAGGGCTTGAACTCGCTGGACATTGCTGAAACGCCGGGATTTCTCGTCGTCGTGTGGACTGTTAGCGGTGGATCGAGGACAGAGGCGGGAGGAGGGCCGTTTTGCGATTGAAATAGAGAGAGGTTTCGAGGCGATTGGAGAGATTTTTGAAGAGATTTCTCTGATCCGATTTTCCTGCTCTAATCGTTGATTGTTCCGTATGAGATGGAGTTTGCGAGAGAAAAGCTTAGAGTTTGAAGACAATTTTCAGATCCGATCTGGTTGTGAGGAGAGAGATTTTTCTCTTCTTCTTTGCGCGATGACGCGAGAGATATGTGGCATCTAAATGACATGGCGTCCTACGTTTACGCTGACATGGATGCCACGTCATTTTTTTTATCAGCCATGTCAGCAGAATTGGCCGGAATATGTTTTCGAGACAAATTTGCAATACTTATTAAAGGTTGGATATTTTCTTGCTAAATTAAAAAAGATGAGTTTTATTTGCAATTAACGAAAAGGTTATGGTTATTTCCTCCAAGGCACTCAAGTTCATAGATTTTCCAAATATCTGGGTTTGCTCCTGGGGATAGGGAAATTTAAGAAGAAGACCTTTGAGTATGTTATTGAAGCTGTTAAGAAAGGAGTGTCTAGTTGGAAGAACAATTTTCTTTCTCCTGCTGGCAAAGAGGTGTTGATGAATTCTATGCTTCATGCATTACTTGTATTCTCTATGTCATGTCTTGTTCTGCCTAAGAATGTCTATCAGGAAATTGCTAAAATTTGTGCCCAGTTCTGGTGGAGGAATGGTAGTGATGATAATTCTCGAATCCATTGGAAAAGATGGCAACTCATGGTTCTTCCAAAGGTGTATGGTAGTTTGGGATTTCGTGATTTACAGCAATTCAATGATGCACTTATTCTAAAGCAACTCTGGAGAATTATTTCATTGCCAAATCTCCTTGTCAACAAATTTCTGAAATGCAAATACTTCCCATCTGAAAGCATTTTCAAAGCTAGAGTGTCTCAGAATGCATCTTGTCTATGGTCAACATGGATGGCTGTGAGAGATAGGTATAAAGACTGCTTCAGAATTCAGATAAGGGATGGCCTTAGTACCAGCATATGGAATGATCCAGGGCTTTGCACAACTTCTTCAGGCAGTCCCCAGAGATCAGCACATAACCATTCTGGCATCAACTGGGTAAGAGATGCAGGAGGCAAGAGATGGAATGTGGATTTGATCAAGTAATTATTTAATGCTGAAGACTGTACCAACATTTTAAAGATCAACAATCTTGACCCAACCAGGAAGGATAGATGGATCTGGAATGATGATGCAAAAGGTGATTTTTCAGTTGCCAAAGCTTACTTCAGACTTGTGGAGCAGAAATTCAGAGGTCTTGACTTGGCAGAAGGAAGTAGGTCTATTGGGACTCATAGGAAAATCAGATGCAGAACCTGGAAACTCAAAATCATGGGAAAGTTATCAACTCTATAAACACTTATTTAGGAATTTATAAATCTCTCCCTACATATTAATGCAGAATGTCCCAATCCTACGTGTCGACATCTATTGCTTCATAATCATATATGTCGAATTATGGTGCTTCATATTCCTATATGTAATTTTTTTTTTTTTTTTAGNTTAGCTTCAGAGTAATCCATGTAAATCTAGACTTCTATCAAGTATATCTATCATTATATAAAAAGAATAACCTTTTTACAAATTTAGAAACTTTTTCCCGCCAAAATCATTAAATATATCCTATATATAGTAATTGTTGGACAAATTTGAATAAGCAAAAAAATCGGCTCATTAATTGTGTAAGGATTTGTTTCTCTTTTTCCTGTTTTTTAGTTTATAGTAAATATTTGTTTTTCTTTTTCCTATTTTTAGTATAAATCTACACGAGTTTATCTCTTATATTACAAAATCCCATTGCATATAAAAAATCTCATCCCTTATCTATACAAATTTGAAAAAATAAAATAAAATATAAACCAATTCATAATTACTACTAGAAATCCATTATCTTTAAAAAAAAATAGAAATCAATTCATAATTACTACTAGAAATCCTCTATCCATTATCTACTTTAAGAAGCTAATTTTCATCGGTCTAATTACTAATATTTTTACAAATATTATAAGCTAACCATACAAAAAAGTATAATAATAATTTTGAAATGGTGTGTAATCAATTATTTTATATTCTCTTATACAAAATAATTTTACATTGTTTGACCCCAAATTTTTAATTTATAATTATTAGGTATTGTTTATCCTCCTCTTTAATTTGTAATTATTTTTTTTTCTTCCTCTTTTTAAATAGGATCAATAGTAGTTTGCACTTCCGTCATTGAATGACTCAAACTCGCGGTCTATTTATAATATTGTTAATTTAATATTGTTCTCGTGCATCGCACGGGTACACACTAGTTTAAAAGTAATTAATTTTATTATTTAGTTTTGGATTTTTATATGTAATATATCAAATTAATAACTCATAAGTTCGATTGGAGATCCATATTGCATATATAAAATAAATAATAATATTTATCTTTATAATGAAAACAAAATTATCTACTAATATCAATTGAGAAATAATAATTTTTTTTATCAATTGATAAATTTATCTATAAATTTACATATAATAATTATTTTTTAGCAATTGATAAATTTTATCTATCATATTATATTAATTATAAAAATTATTATAATATAAGACGGGTGAGTCGTAGGATGTCATAAATGTAATAATAGTTTTAAAAAAATAATATAAATTTCAAACAAAGACTCCCCCTCTCTTTATAAATTGAAGTATAAATATTTTAACTAGCAACCAGTATAATAAAGGTGTATTGTACTAGTAAACTATTTTGAGAGACAGAGAGAGAGAGAGAGATAATCTTTGTGAGTATTATTTATTAATAATATTTGAATATGTTGAATTTTTTATAAACAGAAACTTTAAAACAACAGTTACTTTATAAGGGGTAAAATACACGTCTAAATTATATTAAATTATTATATATCATAAATATAAAAAATAAAAAATAATATAAATATTCAAAATTATTTTTTCACTAATCGATATTATTTCGCTGTTTTAATTTATACGATTTTTTATCTCAACTGATATTCACCGCCCCCCTTTTACTAATCACCGCCCCTCCCCCCCATTTACTCTTTTGCCCTTAACCTTTTTTTGGATTTCATCTCTCTAAATTTTCTATCTCTCTAAATTTCCGAACTTCAACGGCCGATTCGAGCATCAAAAGAAATCCAAAAAAATGTCGAAAAAATTGTACGGCGTCGGCAAAGGACTCTTCTCCAACAAGGTAAATTTTATTTTATTTTTTTTGGCCGGAACAATTTTTTAAAATTTTTTTTTTGAATCTGGCCAGCCGTCCGGCCGTCGGTTCCGGACGGACCAAAAATCGTCCGGTCGGCCGAACCGGACGGCTCTCTCATTGTCCGGTTCCCGACGGCCAAAAAACCGTCCGGAACCGGCCGGTCGCGAGCCGGCCGGACAGTTTTCATTTTTTTTATTTTTTTAATAATTATAATAAGAATAAATAATAATAATAATAATAATTATAATTATTATAAATTATAAGTTATAAATTATAATAATAATCATATATGATAATAATAATAA